TAAAAGTTTTTAGTTTTGATGAAGTTCAATTTACCTTTTTTTTTTTTTTTTTTTGAGACAGAGTCTTGCTCTGTTGCCTGGGATAGAGTGCCGTAGCATCAGCCTAGCTCGCAGTAGCTTCAAACTCCTGGGCTCAAGCACTCCTTCTGCCTCAGCCTCCTGAGTAGCTGGGACTACAGGCATGCACCACCATGCCCGGCTAATTTTTTCTGTATATTTTTAGTTGTCCAGCTAATTTCTTTCTATTTTTAGTAGAGACAGGTTCTCACTCTTGCTCAGGCTGGTCTTGAACTCCTTACCTTGAGCAATCCTCCCTCCTTGGCCCCCCAGAGTGCTAGGATTACAGGCGTGAGCCACAACACCTGGCCAATTTACCTTTTTTTCTTTTGTTGCTTATGTTTTTGGTGTCATATCTAAGAATCCTTACATTTAGGTGTCTTATCCATTTTAAGTTAATTTTTCTAGGTGGTGAAGTTCCAACTTAATACTTTACCATGTAGGTATCCAGTTGTTCCAATATCACTTTTCTTTCCCTTTCGAATATTCTTGGTCCCCTGGTTGAAAATTACTTGGTCATAGATAACATGGGCTTATTTCTGGACTCTCAATTCTATTCCATTGACTATATGTCTATCTTTGTGTCAGTAACACAGTTTTGATTACTGTAGCTTTGTAGTGAGTTTTGAAATTGAGAAGTGTGAGTCCTAGTTTGTTTTTCTTTTCTTTTTCTTTGTTCAGTCTCCATAAAGACTGCCAAAAATTGCCAATGCCGACCATATTTCGTCGTCATGGTTGGGTATTGGGAAAAGTTTTCAATTTGCAATAATCACACCTCAGAAAAACCTCATTGGGTACAGTATTACCACCGTGCAAAGTTCCTGGTTTGGGCTGGGCGGGGTCGCTCACACCTGTAATCCTAGCACTCTGGGAGGCCGAGCCGGGCGGATTGCTCGAGGTCAGGAGTTTGAAACCAGCCTGAGCAAGAGCGAGACCCCGTCTCTACTATAAATACAAAGAAATTAACTGGCCAACTAATATATATAGAAAAAAATTAGCAGGACATGGTGGTGCGTGCCTGTAGTCCCAGCTACTCAGGAGGCTGAGGCAGGAGGATTGCTTGAGCCCAGGAGTTTGAGGTTGCTGTGAGCTAGGCTGACACCACGACACTCACCCTAGCCTGGGCAACAAAGCGAGACTCTGTCTCAAAAATAAAAAAGAAAAAGAAATAGCTCAATAAATGTAGTTAACCCAGGTGGGGACAAAGACAGGACTTGTGGGGGCGGACTCCGTTTTCGGCTTTGTTTTCCAGGGAGATGAAAATGTAGTGCGCGGGAGTTTTGGCCTCCACCTGTGAACCATGAACCCGCAGGCTCTGCTGCCATGAAGGTGAAAATTAAGTGCTGGAACGGCGTGAGCACTTGGCTCTGGGTGGCCAATGATGAGAACTGCGGCATCTGCAGGATGGCATTTAACGGCTGCTGTCCCGACTGTAAGGTGCCCCAGACGACTGCCCGCTGGTGTGGGGCCAGTGCTCGCACTGCTTCCACATGCACTGCATCCTCAAGTGGAAGTGGCTGCACGCGCAGCAGGCCCAGCAGCAGGCCCCAAGTGCCGCCAGGAGTGGAAGTTCAAGGAGTGCGGGCTGCGCCCCACCTGCGCTTGGTCCCTCACCCCACGTGGCATCCTGAGACCTGGTCTGCTTGATGAGACCGGTGGCTGTGGTCTCCGCTGTAGATGGGCCCCCAGGGGACCTATGACAGGGTTGAAAAAAGGTCTGGAGCTGCATCTGTTTTTCCATCACAATGTTGATACTTTTATCGAATACGTAAAACTCATTAAACTACTGGAACCCTGAAAAAAAAAAAATGGAGACGGGAGGGTCCTCAGCTAAAGCCAAAAGCAGATGAAAGTGGTGGGACTCGCTTAGAGGTTGCAGAGACGTGAAGCTCTTGAGGAGGACTCCTCCGGATTGGGGTCGGCGCTCGCCTCGCTCTCCTCGTCCTCATCCTCGGCCCTGGGCCTGGCCCCGGCCCCACGCCGCCCGCCCATCGTGGAGAAGACAGAGCTGATCCAGAAGGCCAAGCTGGCTGAGCGCTACGAGGAGATGGTCACCTGCATGAAGGCAGTGACCGAGCAGGGCGCCGAGCTGTCCAATGAGGAGTGCAACCTGCTCTCGGTGGCCTGCAAGAATGTGGTCGGGGCCACAGGTCCTCCTGGAGGCTCATCTCAAGCATCAAGCAGAAAACGGACACCTCCGACAAGAAGTTGCAACTGATTAAGGACTATCGGGAGAAAGTGGAGTCTGAGCTGAGGTCCATCTGCACCACGGTCCTGAAATTGTTGGATAAGTATTTAATAGCCAATGCAACTAATCCAGAGAGTAAGGTCTTCTATCTGAAAATGAAGGGAGATTACTTCCGATACCTCGCTGAAATTGCATGTGGTGATGATCGAAAACAAACAATAGATAATTCCCTAGGAGATTATCAAGAGGCATTTGATATAAGCAAGAAAGAGATGCAACCCACACACCCAATCCCCCTGGGGCTGGCTCTTAACTTTTCTGTATTTTACTATGAGATCCTTAATAACCCAGAGCTTGCCTGTACGCTGGCTAAAATGGCTTTTGATGAGGCCATTGCAGAACTTGATACACTGAATGAAGACTCATACAAAGACAGCACCCTCATCATGCAGTTGCTTAGAGACAACCTAACACTATGGACATCAGACAGTGCAGGAGAAGAATGTGATGCAGCAGAAGGGGCTGAAAACTAAATGCATACAGGGTGTCATCCTTCTTCCCTTCAAGAAACCTTTTTACACATCTCCATTCCTTATTCCACTTGGATTTCCTATAGCAAAGAAACCTATTCATGTGTATGGAATCAACTGTTTATAGTCTTTTCACACTGCAGCTTTGGGAAAACTCCATTCCGTGATTTGTGTTTGTCTCGGCCTTCCTGGTGTGCAGTTACTGCTGTAGAAAAGTATTAATAGCTTCATTTCATATAAACATAAGTAACTTCAAAACACTTATGTAGAAGACTAAAAATGTATCTGGTATTTAAGTAATCTGAATCAGTTCTGCAAGTGACTGTGGTTTGTATTACTGTGAAGATATGAAAATGTAGTTAATTACAATTTAAGGAGTGTTCTACATAACTTTTTAATTTCTACATTCCCTCTTTACTCTTTGGAGATTTTTTCTTTCAGTAAGCAACTTTTCCATGCTCTTACGGTATTCCTTCTTAGTAGGAATTCAGAAAATTGAATGGAAAAGCACTTGAAAAAAAAAAAAAGCACTTGACATTTCTGGGCTAGGAGTCACAAATTGAAATGTCTCCTATATCATATATTATGGAGGTCATGTATATCTGTGACAACAGCGAGTTTCCTTATTCACTCTTCATTTGCTGCTGTTTTTTTTTTTGTTTTTTTTTTGAGACAGAGTCTTGTTTTGTTGCCGAGGCTACAGTGAGTGCCATGGCGTCAGCCTTGCTCACAACAACCTCAAACTCCTGGGCTCAAGCAATCCTACTGCCTCAGCCTCCCGAGTGGCTGGGACTACAGGCATGTGTCACCATGCCCAGCTCTATAAATATTAGTTGGCCAATTAATTTCTTTCTATTTATAGTAGAGACGGGGTCTCACTCTTGCTCAGGTTGGTTTCGAACACCTGATCTCGAGCAATCCACCCGCCTCGGCCTCCCAGAGTGCTAGGATTACAGACGTGAGCCACCGCGCCTGGCCATTTGCTGCTGTTTAAGTTGACAACTTCCCTTCCCAATAAAAATTCACTTACACCTCCTGCTTTTGTAGTTCTGGTATTCACTTTACTGTGTAATAGAAGTAGCATGTTGCTGCCAGAATATAAGCATTGCTTTTGGCAAATTAAAGTGAATGTCATTTCTTAATACAGTAGAAAGGAGAAATAAATTGAAGTACACAAGTCTAAATCTAAAACTTTAGTACTTTTCCATGCAGATTTGTGCACATGTGGGAGGGTGTCCAGTTTGTCTAGTGATTGTTAGAGAGTTGGACCACTATTGTGTGTTGCTAATCATCGACTGTAGTCCCAAAAAAGCCTTGTGAAAATGTTATGCCCTATGTAACAGCAGAATAACATAAAATAAAATTACATTTTATAAACCATTTACTATGGCTTTGTAACAATTGGATACCCATATTTTAAGAGACAGGTGAATTTACTACTTTCTGAAGTTTATTGATACTTCCCTTTTATCTTATGTAAAATATAGTAGTGATACCCATATTTCTGCATTGTGATATACTTGTCTAGGGATGCCTGGAAATGTATAAAATTGGACTACATTTCTTAGAGTGTTTTACTATAGATCAATCTCATGGGCCATCTTTTCCTCAAATGTAAATGATATCTGGTTAAGTGCTATATGGAATAAAGTGGATATTTTAAAACTAAAAAAAAAAAACGCTCCTGGTTTATTTTTCTTTTTCAGAATCGTTTTGGTGGACTAAGTGTTAGAAACTGAAATTGATCACTTCTTGGATGTCCCTGGTTTTTAATTAAGACAATGACAGCACAGTTAAATGTGGTGATTAGAAAACATAAAACAATTTCATGTTCATACCCAGTGAATTAAGACTATACAGCAAATTAGGTAGAATAAGTACTCTTAGAATTTGATGAAATCACCTTAAAGAGGGATTTGGATCTAACACAGAATAGGGATGTTCAAGACAATTTTACCAGGATCTTACAGAACAAGGAAGCCCTAGTTGATTTCTAGGTTATATATATTTGCTTATGTTTTGCTTCGAAGTAATTCTCCAGATATTTTATGCTTTTATGTATGTGTATATCTTGTCAGTCACCTATATTTATGAGTTTAACTGCTTTTTGTCTTCCTGATTTTTTTCAACCTTTGGTCCTTTTTTTGGTTTCCACACTATATTATTGAGAAAACATATATGTATACATACAAAGCAATAACCTTGTTTTGTTCTCTTTTGTCTAGGATATGACAAATCTGAAGATATACCTGAGGAGGTAGCTGTAGCTGGACAATGGTAAAGAGGCACATGCCCCCATGGAAGATTCAAGCCTGTCTAGCAGTGTTGATGTGGACAAAGGCTTTGCCATTGCCTTTGTTGTTCTTCTGTTTCTATTCCTAATAGTGATGATTTTTCGGTGTGCCAAGTTGGTGAAGAATCCCTACAAGGCCGGCTCCACAACCACAGAACCATCTCTGAGCTGAAGTATGATAAAACCTTGTAGACTCCCCCTCACAAGAGATTTGAAATCTTTTACACAGACTATTACAATATAGATTTCATATTATTTCACTTCCCTGTTTCTCAGTCTTCTCACTCTTTCATTTTATAATAGGCACATAAAGGTGAGTTAAGAATAGTAAAAGGAGATAAAACACAAGCCAGTTTATATTGTTCCTATTCAGGAAAATGGGTTCCTAAAGTAGGACAGAGATAGGCTGAATTAATTGGCTAGAATAAGGCCATGGGTTTCAATCCTTTGGTATCTAGTGTCCTTAGGATGGGACAGTGGGCCATAATATTATGATGTAACATAATATCATTATGCTTAATAAGGCCCTTCAGAAGCCCACCTAGAAGTGGCGAACTTGAAAGGCCCCTTTAGTTATACAAATGTAAGATCAGCAGGAACCAATTGTCCTATGATAAGAGTCTAACAATACCTTTTTGGTGTGTGAGGATTTGCAAAATCAGCTGTTCTCAAGTGGGCAGAGCTCTGTGGTAAACGGGGAGTAATTTGCCTTGGGTGAATCTCTTAACCTCCTTCAACCCAAATCTAATCTCCTCATCTATAAAATAACATGTAGAGGGTTGAATGGGGGCCCCCAAAAAGATATAGTCATGTCCTAACTCCTGGCCCCTATGAATGTGACCATATTTAGAAAAAAGGTGTTTGGGGATGTAATTAAGAATCTCAAGATAGGCAGGTCTGAAGGTAATGAGTTATCTCACTGGATTGTTCACAGTCAGTTACAGATTGAACTCCTTGTTCTACTACTTTCCCCCCTTCTCACTACTACACTTGACTAGTCAAAAAAAAGAATCTCAAGATAAATAAATCCATCCTGGATTATCTAAGTGAACCTTAAATCCAATGACAACTGTCCTTGTAAAAAATAGAGAAGACACTAGGAGACAGAGACAAAGGACATGTGAAGATAGAGGCAGAGATTGGAATCATGCAGCCACAAGCCAAGGAACCCTTGCCTGGAAACACGAGAAGCTGGAAAAGGCAAAGAAGGGTACTCCCCTAGAGCTTTTGGTGGCAGTGTGTCCTCACCGACAACCTTGATTTTGGACTTCTGGCCTCCACAACTGTGAGAGAATAAAGTTCTGTTGTTTTAAGCCACCTGGTGTGATAATTTGTCATGGTATTCACAAGAAATTAATACATACTATATGATAATCATCATCTCAGGGATCTTTTAAAAGAAAAGGGAAAGAAATCATTGTTCCATACCCCCATAATATGCCAAAAGAAAAAAAGAAAAAAAAAAAAAAAAGAAATCATTGTTCCTACTCTCCAAAATCTGAAGTTAGGGAAACTTGGTAGAGTGGGCTATGGACTAACTAAGAGGAAGGTTAGCAAGGAAATTCACTAGAGAGAAAGGGGGCATCTAGGCTGTTGACCAAGGCTTAACATGTGTTTGGCTGAAGAGAACTGGTTTTAACACAGCAAGTGATAGAGAATTAAAGCCCTCACATCCAGCCACAGTGGTCAAGTATTCTAGGCAACAGTAACCTAGCATGTGAGCATAACCTGAGAGCCATAACCCTAGACTCTAAGTATAGGGCATCACGTGGGCTTATGTAGGTAGTTGGACCAACAAGCAGTCACCTCTGAGAAGTTATATATCCATGGGACCATGCTGTACTAGGCTTTAACAGCAATACTACATGGTATGAAGACACAACTCTAGCCATGCACTGTTAGCAAAGACTTGATTATTGTCTCTCTTCCTGACTCCTGGAAGTGGTTCTGCCCCCTTCCTTAGCTTGAGTAAGCCACAGCATTCTTTGAAAATGGGGACAGGGGAATCAAAGCCTTTCAAGGGAGTTATTAGACTTTGCACCAGATAGGGTGCCTTATTGGTTAAACTGGAATTGGGGAAGAGGGAGAGAGAAATAAGATTTGCATTTTGATTTGGTGAAAAGAAAGGGGAAGGTGCAGGTTAGGTGAAAAGCAGATTAGGATTGATGTTGGTGCTTGAAGGCTGCAGTGTGTTCCCTCCAGGAACTCAGAAATTAGCCTTCCTCCTCTCCCCCAGCTTCTTAACATAAGCTGCAAGACAAACACATGATTAATGAGTACATCAGTATATAGTCACTAGAGAATCACAGGTTTGACAATTATCTGACTTCCCCCAGTAACCTAAGAAAAAAATGCATCACTCAGAAGAAGTGCATCATCTGTGGAAGCAGAAAAAGAAGAGCAACCTAAGGCAAACTCATATGGGGCTAATATGAATACTGGTCAAGAGAGAGGGAAATTTAGCTATTGGACAATAGAGTATTTCCAGTCCCAGTGGCCAGATAATCCTTGGGAGATTCAGGGAGTTGGAGCCCACAGACCTTGGCTCTGTCTGGTTTATTGCTCATATAATCTGTTAATGTGACATCCTTAACTATTCCTTTCACTCACTTCAAACTGGAAGCTTACAGGTTCAATCAGTCTGCAGAGAAGTTTTATTGAGTCAGAACCCATCCAGTTTTAATCTATAAAGTGTGTGTTGGGGTTCTATATTTATTTTTTGAATCAACAGTTTAAATTTATCATTGTAAAGGTAACACATGCACACAGTAAAAAAAATTTTTTTAAATATTAAGGATAAAAAAAGTTCCTCCATACTGTTTTCCATAGGGGAGGATAAAGACAAAAAATTCCTAGACCACTGCCTTGTTTCTCATTTCTTCTTTCCAAAGGTAACTGCTGTTAAGTTAGTTTTTGTATATATGTATATCTTTCCGAACATTTTCCTTTTTTTTTTTTTTTTTTGAGACAGAGTCTCACGTTGTTGCCCAGCCTAGAGTGAGTGCCATGGCATCAGCCTACCTCACAGCAACCTTAATCTCGTGGGCTCAAGTAATCCTACTGCCTCAGCCTCCTGAGTAGCTGGGACTACAGGCACGTGCCACCATGCCCAACTAATTTTTTCTATATGTTAGTTGGCCAATTAATTTCTTTCTATTTTTAGTAGAGACGGGGTCTCACTTAGGCTGGTTTCGAACTCCTGATCTCGAGCAATCTGCCCGCCTTGGCTTCCCAGTGTGCTAGGATTACAGGCGTGAGCCACCGTGCCCGGCCAGAAAAAAAAGTTTTAAAGCAAGAGTATGTGACCAGAGCAAAACTTTATTTTAGAGCTACATTTAGGATTGATTTTTAATAAGGCCTACCAATTAGGAGGCTATTTTGTCCTAGCAAGAAATAAGAACTAAAGAAAGGCAGTAGAATAGGAAAACAAAGAAGTGGGAAGATATAATCAATATTTCCTTCCAAACTGGGATAAACAAGCTACATTAAATAATGGTACAAGAGCACCAAATTGCCTGGCTCTGCACCTTTTTAGCTGTGTGACTTTGGAAAATTTCATTTAAATTCTGTTCCTCAGGGCTGGGCGCGGTGGCTCAAACCTGTAATCCTAGCACTCTGGGAGGCCGAGGCAGGAGAATCCTTGGAGCTCAAAAGTTGAGACCAGCCTGAGCAAGAGCGAGACCCCAGTCTCTACTAAAAAGGGAAAGAAATTAGCGGAACAACTAAAAATATATAGAAAAAATTAGCCAGGCATGGTGGCGCCTGTAGTCCCGGTTACTCAGGAGGCTGAGGGAGGAGGATCCTTTGAGCCCAGGAGTTTGAGGTTGCTGTGAGCTACACTCTACCCGGGGCGACAGAGCGAGATTATCTAAAACACACACACACACAGCCAAAAATCAAGTAAAACTGAGAGGAAAAAAAACCTAAACCTACGAGTCTTTGCCAACTAAGTATTCAATAAACGTAGAATTACGGCTACTAGTCGGGGGCTGGTGGGAGAGGTGGAGCCTCTTGGTCACGCCTACCTTGACCTGCCAGTCGCTTCTCACGTGTGTCCTGGAAGGCTCTGTCTTAACGCATGCGTAGTCATCTTAGTTTTCGTAGCCTCTGAGGGGCGCCCCGCGGCTTTCGATTTGACCCCGTCAGGCTACCGTCGCGGTGACCGGAACGGCGCTAAAGGTTTGCTTCCGGGCTTCTCTTTTGCTTCCCCTTCCCTCCCTCACGCTTCTTCCCCTCCCCCCTCCCCCCGCTCCCTTTTCCCTTCGGTTTCGCTCTTTTCCGTCGAGGCCGACCCCTGGGTCGCGAGTCTGGAGTCTGGTTGGTGAAAAAGAGCCCTTATACCTGGAAGCAGGAAGGTGTGGGGAATACTGTTAATTGAGTTATTGGAAGACCAAAGGCTTATCTGGGATGTTTTGTTTGTGGGAGGAGGTCTGCGAGTGGTGAAGGAAGTCGTGCCCGAGAGGCCAGCGGGGGCGGGGCTGAGCTGGGCTTGCGGATGGGTGGGACGCACCTCTAAAATAGGTACCATGGGGGTGGGCCGGTATGTGGGCAAAGGAAAAATGGAGTCTTTGAGAACTGGCATTGGCATCGTAGGGCATTCTGGCGTTACTTTTGGTTTACCGTTTGATAAAAAAAAAAAAAAGCAGTTAACGTGAATGTGTGGGTTATTTGGATTGTGGGTATTAGGTAGCCTCATTTTATTCCCAGATTGCTTTACTTCCCTTTCCTTTGGGGAAACCTTTTCGTGGCAAACTTTTGTGTGCTTAAGTATCATAGGCTTTTTAAAAATAAATTTCCACATAGAAGCAAAGTAATGTAAGGGAAATAAGTAATGAAAGAGAAAACACCAATACCAAGTTAGTGAGTTATATAGATCAATGTCTGCACCAAGTAGGGGTTTTATCCAAATTAGGCATAGCATATAGACAAAGATTTATAAAGTCAGGTAAGGAACAGATTAGATCACAAAATATCTTCCTATTGTATCGGTTTTCTTGGTTTCCTAAAACATTGTTTTCTATAGTTCCCTATTGCATGATGAATGTTCTCTGTGTCCTCTCAAACTTTTAAATCTTATTCAGGCCTGTTAGTCTATAGCAGGTGATGAGAATGCTACTAAATCTCAGCATCAGATTCTGGAGAATGAGGAGAGAAAATAGATTATTTGAATAAGCGGTAGCAGAATTGGAATGAGTTGTATTAGAGAACTGAAATTCTATATTAATTGTGGTTATAATGACTCCAAAGTAAATTTAGTTTTCTGTTCCATGCAGAGGACAAAAGTATGTCCTCCCTTCCTGGGTGCATTGGTTTGGATGCAGCAACAGCTGCAGTGGAATCTGAAGAGATTGCAGAGCTACAACAGGCAGTGGTTGAGGAATTGGGTATCTCTATGGAGGAACTGAGACAGTTCATCGATGAAGAACTGGAGAAGATGGACTGTGTACAGCAGCGTAAGAAGCAGCTAGCAGAGTTGGAGACGTGGGTAATTCAGAAAGAATCTGAGGTGGCTCATGTTGACCAACTCTTTGATGATGCATCCAGGTGAGGACTATATGGGAAATAGAAGGAAATCTCTCCATTGACAGACATCTTTAGAGTATATTTCTTGATGACATTGTATACAAGGACTTTATACTGTACAAAGTACAGATGTATAGAACCTTACCCCTCCTCATAGTTTATGGTCTAAACTTTAACATTCTAATCACCCATAAGTAGAATTTTCATCTTTTGGAGGCTGATATATGATCAGCAATAGGGGAATCCAAGTCTTGAGTCCCTTCCCTTTGCTCATGTATTCTGGAACAATTGCTTTGTTTCCCTAGTAAGATCATTCAGGGAGCAAGGATTATAAAGAGCTGCTGTCTTTTGTAACTATGCAGCATTAATAAGTTCCTAAACATGCAAAAGATTTGCTTCTGGTGCCCTAATTGTCACTTAGAATATATTTTCAAATAACAACAAGATAAATAATTAGGTAAGATTGAAAGTACTGTACTTTGGGCCAGGCACGATGGCTCACGCCTGTAATCCTAGCTCTCTGGGAGGCCGAGGCAGGATTGCTCAAGGTCAGGAGTAAGAAACCAGCCTGAGCAAGAGACCCTGTCTCTACTAAAAATAGAAAGAAATTAATTGGTCAACTAAAAATATATATAGAGAGAGAAAAAATTAACTGGGCATAGTGGTGCATGGCTGTCATCCCAGCTACTTGGGAGACTAAGGCAGAAGGATTGCTTGAGTCCAGGAGTTTGAGGTTGCTGTGAGCTAGGCCGATCCCATGGCACTCTAGCCCGGGCAACAGAGTGAGACTCTGTCTCAAAAAAACAAAACAAAATAAAAAAAGAAGGTACTGTACTTTGTGCTTATTTGGGATTTTTGAGGAATTAATCTAGAAACCAAATCACTATTTAAAACATTTTTCTATGAGGAAAGCATTCTAAATTCTAAACAGAGCCACTTTGGAATATGGCCCATTTAAGTTGAGAATAGTCTATACTTAAATATATATAAATTCTAATTGTTCCTATACCTCTACTGGCTTTGATCTTTTCTACTTGTGTTCTAATATTAGGGCAGTGACTAACTGTGAGTCTTTGGTGAAGGACTTCTACTCCAAGCTGGGCCTACAATACAGGGACAGTAGCTCTGAGGACGAAGCTTCCAGACCTACAGAAATAATTGAGATTCCTGATGAAGATGATGATGTTCTCAGTATTGATTCAGGTAAGGGATGAGGCTTTGGATAGGAAACTCTCATAATTGAAGTTGAAACACTGGAAGATGAATAGATAGAAGGTAATAGAAGAGAGAAGAAACCATTATCACTAACTCTGTAATCCAAAATGCATGACTTGACTTATAGAGAAAAATGCAACATTGTTAGTATCTTAGATCTTCCCTATGTGCTATACCATGATTGCATTACTCTCCTTTCCTCATTCTTCCTAAGCTCTGTTATGAATTCTGTTCCTCTTTCCAGGATCAATGGGACATGGTGAATTCTATGCTTTCTTTAAAGGTAGCATTAGCACCTATGTATGGATGCCAAAACAATAGAGTGGGTTTTTTGTTTTTCCTTTTTTAACATTTTTATTGAGGTATTACTGATATACCATAAAATTCATCCATTTTAAGTGTACAATTTGAGTTTTAGTAAATTTTTACAGTAACACAATTTTAGAACAACTTGCATCACCACAAAAAGTTCCCTTGTGCCTGTTTGTCATCAGTCCCCAGTCACCTCCAGCAAACACTGATCTGCTTTCTTTTTATATAGCTTTGTCTTTTCTAGAAATTTTATATAAATAGAATCATATAATACACAGTCTTTTGTGTCTGGCTTCTGTCACTTAATGTTCTGGGTTTTTTGGGTTTTATTTTTTATTTTATTATTTTTTCTTTTTTCCAAAGACTTTTTCCATCTCATGTCACCTAATTTTTTTTTTTTTTTTTTTGTGAGACAGAGTCTCGCTTTTGTGCCCAGGCTAGAGTGATGCCGTGGCGTCAGCCTAGCTCACAGCAACCTCAAACTCCTGGCTCAAGCAATCCTCCTGCCTCAGCTCCCAGATAGCTGGACTTAAGGCATTCGCCACCATGCCGGCTAATTTTTTGTATATATTAGCTTGCAAATTAATTTCTTTCTATTTATAGTAGAGACGGGTCTCGCTCTTGCTCAGGCTGGTTTTGAACTCCTGACCTTGAGCAATCCACCCGCCTCGGCCTTCCAGAGAGCTAGGATTACAGGCGTGAGCCACCGCGCCCGTCCCACTTAATGTTTTTGAAATTCATTCACATCATTGCATGTATCAGTAGTTTGGTGCTTTTTGGTGAATGATATTCCATTATATGGATGTACCATGTGTTTTTATCCATTCCTCAGTTGATACATGTTTTATTTCTAGTTTTGGCTATTATGAATAATGCTATGATCATTTATGTGTAAATCTTTGGATGAGTGTTAATGATTCTTTTTGAGTCCAGTTATACCACTAAGGAGTGGAATTGCTAGGTCTTATGGTAAGTGTTATATTTGACGAAACTGCCAGACTATTTTCCAAAGTGGTTATACCATTTTACATTCTCACTGGCAAACTAGGGTTCCAGTTGCTCTTCCTCCTTGCCAATATTTTTTATTGTCAGTTTTTTATTTTAGCCATTCTGGTTGGTGTGTGGTGGTATCATATTGTCATTGTAGTTTGCATTTCCCTAATGACTAATGATATTGAGCATCTTTTTACTTATTTGCCATTTGTACATGTTCTTTGGGGAAATACCTATTCAAGTCTTTTCCCTTTTAAAAAAATTGAATTGTCTTATAATTGACTTAGAAAACTGGCCGGGCGCAGTGGCTCAGGCCTGTAATCCTAGCACTCTGGGATGCCGAGGCGGGTGGATTCCTCAAGGTCAGGAGTTTGAAACCAGCCTGAGCAAGAGCGAGACCCCATCTCTACTATAAATAGAAAAAATTAATTGGCAACTAATCATATAGAAAAAATTAGCCAGGCATGGTGGTGCATGCCTGTAGTCCCAGATACTTGGGAGGCTGAGGCAGCAGGATCGCTTTGAGCCCAGGAGTTTGAGGTTGTTGTGAGCTAGGCTGACGCCATGGCACTCACTCTACCCTGGGCAACAAAGTGAGACTCTGTCTCAAAAAAAAAGAAAGAAAAAGGAAAACTTATTTAGCTGGGTATGGTGGCTCTCGCCTGTAATCCTAGCACTCTGGGAGGCCCAGGCAGGTGGATTGCTCGAGATCAGGAGTTCGAAACCAGCCTGAGCAACACGCTGTCTCTACTAAAATATGAAAGAATTAATTGACCAACTAAAAATATATATAGAAAAAATTAGTTGGGCATGGTGGCGCATGCCTGTAGTCCTAGCTACTCGGGAGGCTGAGGCAGTAGGATCGCTTGAGCCCACGAGATTGAGGTTGCTGTGAGCTAGGCTGATGCCACGACATTCACTCTAGCCTGGGCAACAAAGTGAGACTCTGTCTCAAAAAAAAAAAGAAAACTTATTTATATATTCTAGGTACATTCATTTATCAAATTTTATAAATTTTGTAAATATTTTCTTCTAGATGTGTAGGCTGGTCTTTTCATTTTCTTAATAGTGTCTTTTGAAGAGTTAAAAGTTTCTAAGTTAAGGATTGAGGGTTTGTTTTGCTTATGCCTATCCAGTTGTTCACCACCATTTATTGAAAAGACTATCTTTTTGATACCTTTATCAGAATCAACCATCCAATCAATATGAGGGTCTATTTCTGCATTCTATTCTGTCACATTGATCTAAATGTCTATCTTTACACTAGCACCACACTCTTAATTACTATAGCTTTATGGTAAGTATTGAAATCAGTTATTGTAAGACCAAAATTTGTATTTTTTTTTTCTTTTTTTCTTTTTTTTTTTTTTTTTGAGACAGAGTCTCACTTTGTTGGTCCAGCTAGAGTGAGTGCCTGGCGTCAGCTTAGCTCACAGCAACTCAAACTCCTGGGCTTGAGATGATTCCTTCTGCCTCAGCCTCCGGAGATAGCTGGGACTACAGGCATGCGCCACCATGCCCGGCTAATTTTTTATATATCAGTTGGCCAATTAATTCTTTTATTTATAGTAGAGACGGGGTCTCGCTCTTGCTCAGGCTGGTTTTGAACCTGCCCCTCCGAGCAATCCGCCACCTCGGCTCCCAAGAGCTAGGATTACAGGCGTGAGCCACAGCGCCCGGCCTAAAATTTATATTTTATATACATTTTTATTATTTACTTATTTGTTTATTTTTGAGACAGAGTCTCGCTTTGTTTTTTTTTTGGTTTTTTTTTTTTGAGACAGAGTCTCACTTTGTTGCCTAGGCTAGAGTGAGTGCTGTGGCATCAGCTTAGCTCACAGCAACCTTAAACTCCTGGGCTCAAGCAATCCTTCTGCCTCAGCCTCCCAAGTAGCTGGGACTACAGGCATGTGCCACCATGCCCGGCTAATTTTTTCTATATATATGTTAGTTGGCCAATTGATTTCTTTCTATTTATAGTAGAGATGGGGTCTCACTCTTGCTCAGGCTGGTTTCAAACTCCTGAACTCGAGCAATCCGTCCACCTCGGCCTCCCAGAGAGCTAGGATTACAGGCATGAGCCACCACGCCCAGCCAGCTTGTCAGTTTTTACCAAAGAAAAAGAACCTGCTAAGATTTTTAATAGGGACTATATTGAATCTGGAGATCAATTTGGAGAGTATTGCCTTTTTAACAACATGAATATGATATCTCCCCATTTATTTAGGTCTTAATTTCTCTCAGCAATGTTTCATAGTCTTGCATTTTTTTGTTAAATTTATTCCTCAGTATATTTGATGCTAATAAGAATGGGATTATTTTCTTTATTTTAGGATTATTGGTTGCTAGGATATAAAAACAGTTGATTTTTGTGTATAGATTTTATAGTTTATAACCTCACATATTAGTTCTAGAAGCTTTTTGTTGATTCCTTAGGATTTTCTAAAATCAAATCATGGAAATAAAGTCAGTTTTACTCCTTCCTTTCTACTCTGGATGTGTTTTATTTCCTTTTCTTTCTATATTATACTCACTAGGACCTCCAGTACAATGTTCAGTGAAAGTTTTGAGAGCAGACATTCTTTACTTCATCCTGATCTTAAGGTGAAAACATTTGGTTTATAACCATTAATTATGATGTTAGCTGTAAGTGTTTTGTAGATGTCCCTTATCAGGGTGAAGGAAGTGCCTTCTAATCCTAGTTTGCTGAGACTTTTTGTCGTAGCTGAATTGGATTTTGTCATCTACTTTTTATTAATCATCATATGATGATATGGCTTTTATCCTTTATTCTATTAATAAAATGTAGTACAGTAATTATATTTTGGATGTTATACCTGCCTCACCTTCTGGAATAAACCACCCTTGATCTTAGTATATACTTCTTTTTATATGTTGCTGGATTGGATTTGATAATTTTTTGAAAGAATTTTTACATCTATGTTCATGAGGGCTATTGGTTTGTAGTTCTGTTGTGATGTGTTTGTTTCTTTTAGTATCAAGGTAATATGGGCCTTATAAAATGAGTTGGGAAGTGTTCCCTCCTCTCAATTTGTGTGGAATGGTTATCTTCTTTAAATGTTTGATAAATTCAGCCATGAGGCCATTTTGGCCTGGACTTTCTCTGTGGAAAGATTTTCTAAATAAACTTTTTATTTTGGAATAATTTTAGATTTACAGAAAAATTGAAAAGATAATACAGAGTTCCTGCATGCCTTTTGTCTAGTTTCTTTTTTTTTTTTTTTAAGGTTGGTCAAATGAAGCAGTGGGAGTAGAGAAGGAACAAAAGTTTTATCTAGTTTCTTAAGGGAAACTGTTAATGTGTTATCATGGTACATTTGTCAAAACTAAGAAGAAGACATTGACACATGTTACTTTTATCTAAACTCCATGCTTTATTCAGTTTCTGGACTTTTTCTGTTCTATGATCTAATGCAGGATACTATATTGAATTTATTGTGGGAAGGTTTTTAATTACTAATTCATTTACCTGATATATGTGAGATTTTTCTGTTCCTTCTCAGGTTGGTTTTGATAATTGTGTCTAGGAATTTGTTCATTTCATCTAAGTTGTCTAATTTATTGGCATAAAGTTGTTCATAGTATTCCTTGTGATTCCTTTTAATTTCTGTACATTCTATAGTGATGTCTCTTCTTTCATTGACATTATTGGTTATTTGGATCTTTTGTTTCACCCCTTGATTGATCTAGCTGAGGCTTATTCATGTTTTGCTCTTTTTCAAATAACCAGCTTTTGGATTTATTGATTTATTTTCTCTACTGTTTTCTATTTCATTGATTTCCAATCTGATCTTCATTATTTTTTCCCTTCCACTTACTTAGGTTGGATTCGCCCTTCTCTTTCTAGCATCTTAAAGTGGAAGCTTACATTATTAATTTTAGACCTTTCTTGCTTTCTAATGTAAGCATTTAAAGCTTTAAATGTCATGTTAAGCATTGCTTTACTGCATCTCGTAAATTTTTTTTTTTTTTTTAGTTCATGTCTTTTATTAACTCATGTACAATTACTTGTCTTCTGGTTTATTGAAGCAATAAGTTAGACAACATTTGCCACAATAATGTCTATCAAAGTGGCTGGCCATAAAAACTCCAGCGCCACATTCATCTGAAGGACACTCCCGACGAAGATGACTAATTTTGCCATTCTCATCCACCTTATAGTATTTCAGGACAGCCAGCTTAACCTTCTTTCTCTTATGCTTATTCTACTTGGGAGTGGTATAAGACTTCTTCTTCCTTTTCTTAGTACCACCACAAAGTCTCAACACAAGATGAAGAGTGGACTGCTTTTGAATGGTATAGTCAGACAAAGTACGTCCATCTTCTAGTTGCTTGCCAGCAAAAATCAGTCTTTGCTGATCTGGAGGAATTCCTTCCTTATCCTGGATCTTGGCCTTTACATTTTCTATTGTATCCGAGGGTTCGACCTCGAGAGTGATAGTCTTTCCTGTAAGGGTTTTTACGAAAATCTGCATCTTGGTGGCGGTTCCACCGGAGATGGCAGATCCGAAAAAAAGCTCATCTCGTAAATTTTTATATGTTGTGTTTTATTTTCATTCAACGTGGCATCGTTTTTGATTTCCCTTGTGGTTTTTCTTTAGCTAGTGGACTATTTAGAAATTTTTTTTTTTTTAAAGACAGAGTCTCACTTTGTTGCCCAGGCTAGAGTGAGTGCCATGGCATCAGCCTAGCTCACAGCAACCTCAATCTCCTGGACTCAAGATCCTCCTGCCTCAGCCTCCCGAGTAGCTGGGACTACAGGCATGCTCCACCATGCCCGGCTAATTTTTGTATATATATTTTTAGTTGGTCAATTAATTTCTATTTTTAATAGAGACGGGGTCTTGCTCAGGCTGATTTCGAACTCCTGACCTGGAGCAATCCTCCCACGTTGGCCTCCCAGAGAGCTAGGATTACAGGCGTGAGCCACCACGCTAGGCCAAAATATGTTGTTTGATTTCCAGATATTTCGGGATTTTCCAGAATGCTTTCTGGAAAAAAAATAATTTTTAATTTAATTTGTGATCAGAAAACATACTTTATATGATTTCAGTCTTTTTGAATTCATTGATGTTTTCATTATGTATGGCCTAGCATATTATGTTTTCTTCTTTTCTTTTTTTTTTTAAGAGACAGGGTGTGGCTCTGTTGCCCAGGTTGTGCAGTGGCACAATGATACCTCACAAGAGCAGCCTTGAACTCCTGGGCTCAAGCGATGTTCCTGCCACAGCTTCCTGAGTCTCTGGGATTACAAATGTGGGCTACAGTCTCGGCTATCTGTCCTTGAGAATGTTCCATTGTGTCCTTGAGAAGAATTTGTATTCTATATTGCTATTGAATGTAGTGTAAATGTTGATTAGGTTAAGTTGGCTGATAGTGTTGTTCAAGCCTTCTGTGTCCTTATTAATTTTCTGTCTACTTGTTCTAACAACTGGGAAGGATTTTTGAAATCTTCAACTTATTGAATTGTCTGTTTCTTCTTCTCTCTCTCTTTTTTAATTTTTTTTGTGAGACAGGATCTTGCTATATTGCCCAGGCTGGCCTTGAACTCCTGGGCTCAAGTAATCCTCAGATTCCCGAGTAGCTGAAACAGGAAACAGACCACCATGCCTATCTATTTCTTTTAATTGTGTCAGTTTTTGCTTCCTGTGTTTAGGGGCATTGTTGTTTGTCATATATACATTTATAATTGTTTTATCTTCGTCATATATTGACCATTTATCATAAAATGTCCCTTTTTGCCTCCTGTAATATTTCTGTTTTGAAGTTGTAGCCTTTCTATTTGTATTATAGTAACTATTTGCATGGTGTATTACTTTCTGTCCTTTTACTCTCAATCTGTTTTTATCTTTGGATTTGATGTATTTCTTGTAGACAATATATAGTTACATCTTGTCTTTTTTTAATAAATTCTCACAGTCTCAGCCTTTTTAGTGTTGAGCCCATACAAGGTTAAGGGGAATCCATATAGGTGGATTTACATATGCCATCTTACTGTTTTTTATCTGTCTTATGTCTTTTATTATTATTTATTTCTTCTTTTTTGCCTTCTTTGGGTCAAACAAATATTTCAGTAAACCTTTTAAAATTCTTCTGATTTTTTTTTTTTTTTTTTTTAGTGGTTACATCTTTACCTAATCATAATCTGTTACAGTTAACACTAACCTAATTCTGGTAAAATATAGCAGCTCTCTACCAGTATAGCTCCATTTTCACTCTCTTCCTATGTGATACTATTGGTATTTTTGTTTGTTTGTGTTTTGAGACAGAGTCTCACTTTGTTGCTCAGGCTAGAGTGAGTGCCACAGCGTCAGCCTAGCTCACAGCAACCTCAAACTCCTGGGCTCAAGCAATCCTCCTGCCTCAGCCTCCCGAGTAGCTGGGACCACAGGCATGCGCCACCATGCCGGCTAGTATTTTCTGTCTGTCTGTCTGTCTGTCTGTCTGTCTGTCTGTCTATCTGTCTTTCTTTCTGTCTTTCTTTCGATTTTTTTGAGACAGAGTTTCACTCTGTTGCCGGGGCTAGAGTGCCGTGGCGTCAGCCTAGCTCACAGCAACCTCAAACTCCTGGGCTCAAGCAATCCTCCTGCCTCAGCCTCCCGAGTAGCTGGGACTACAGGCATGTGCCACCATGCCTGGCTAATTTTTTCTATATATATTAGTTGGCCAATTAATTTCTTTCTATTTATAGTAGAGACGGGGGTCTCACTCTTGCTCAGGCTGGTTTCTTACTCCTGACCTTGAGCAGTCCTCCCGACTTGGCCTCCCAGAGTGCTAGGATTACAGGCGTGAGCCACCACACCCATTTCTATTTTTTAGTAGAGACGGGGTCTCACTCTTGATGCTATTGTTTTTATTTGTATTTTTAGAGACAGATCTTGCTCTGTCACCCAGGCTGGAGTACATCAGTGGTACAGTCATAGCTCACTGTAACCTCAAACTCCAGGCCTCAAGTGATCCTCAACCTCACCCTCCTGACTAGCTAGGACTATGGGTTCATGCCTCCATGCCTGGCTAATTTTTTTTAAAGAGACAGTGTCTTCTGTCTTGCTCAGGATGGTCCCATACTCCTTGCCTCAAGTTATCCTCCCACCTCAGCCTCCCAAAGTGCTGGGATTTCACAGGCATGAGCCACTGTGCCTGGCCTTACGTCCATATACATTTAAAGCCAATAATTTAGTCTTATAATTACTGCCTTAAGCAACCTTATGTTTGACAAAGGTAAGGGAAGAAAAGAGAAACTATATATATGTTTACCCAGATGTTTACCATTTCTGTTGCTTTTCATTCCTTCCTAGGGATCCAGTTTCCCATCCAGTGTCATCTTTTTCCAGCCAGAAGGAATTCCTTTAATATTTCTTATAGTACAGTTTTGCTCAAAGTAGATTTTCTCAGTCTTTGTTTATCTGGAATATAGAATTCTTGACTGACAGTATTCGAGTCAAAATCAGATGAAATTACATTTTTGTATCATGTATGTCATTTTTGTCTTGCTGCTTTAAAAATTTTCTTTTTGTCTTTCAAATTTAGTTTGACTAGGATATATCTATGTATAGTTCTCTCTATTAATCCTACTTGAGGTTCATTGAACTTCTTGGATTGTAGATTCAGGTTTTTCATCAAATTTGGAAATGTTTCATCCATTATATCTTTTTTTTTTTTGAGACAGAGTCTTGCTTTGTTGCCCAGGCTAGAGTGAGTGCTGTGGCGTCAGCCTAGCTCACAGCAACCTCAAACTCTGGGCTCAGGAGATCCTTCTGCCTCAGCCTCCCGAGTAGCTGGGACTACAGGCATGTGCCACCATGCCCAGCTAATTTTTTCTATATATATTAGTTTGCCAATTAATTGCTTTCTATTTTTAGTAGAGACAGGGTCTCGCTCTTGCTCAGGCTGGTTTCAAACTCCTGACCTCGAGCAATCCTCCCACCTCGGCCTCCCAGAGTGCTAGGATTACAGGTGTGAGCCACCACACCCGGCCTATCCATTATATCTTGTTATATTTTTTTCTAGCCCTTTCTCCCTTTTTTCTGGGATTCCCATTACATACATGGTGGAATGCTTGACACTGTCCCACAAGTCTCTGAAGTTTTGTTAATTTTTCTTTAGTCTTCTCTCTGTGCTTTGGGTTATATAATTTTTGTCTATGTATTGGTATCTATATTCTACTTTCACTGATTCTTTTTTCTGTTATTCTAAATCTGCCACTTAGCACCCTTTAATGTGTGTTTCATTTCAGTTTTTGTATTTTCAACTCCAGAATTTCCATTTGGTTCTTTATAGTTTCAGTTTCTCTCTTGAGATTCTCTGTTGTTGACTAAATATTAGTATATTTTCCTTTAAATCTTTTTTTTTTTTTTTTTTTGAGACAGAGTCTCTTTTTTTTTCTTGTTTTTTTTTGAGACAGAGTCTCGCTTTGTTGTCCAGGCTAGAGTGAGTGCCGTGGCGTCAGCCTAGCTCACAGCAACCTTACACTCCTGGGCTCCAGCGATCCTACTGCCTCAGCCTCCCAAGTAGCTGGGACTACAGGCATGCGCCACCATGCCCGGCTAATTTTTTATATACATATCAGTTGGCCAATTAATTTCTTTCTATTTATAGTAGAGACGGGGTCTCGCTCTTGCTCAGGCTGGTTTTGAACTCCTGACCTTGAGCACATAAAAAGTACGCGAGTTGAGGTATTAGAATTGAGACAAAAATGATTCGTAAGTAACAGTAAATTTCAAAAAGGCCATGTCTATTGAAAGGGAGCAACCATTCGAACCCAAGATGATCTGTCCGTTTTTATGAAATAGATCCACAAGATTAGCGCAAAGTTAAGAAAAAGACTAACATTACTTACGACAAAAGCTCTGATACAATCTTCGTTTCCAGACCTACTTAAAACTCACTGGTAAAAAAATTCCGCATCATTAACGTCATTCTAAAAACCAGTCCAATACTTCATCTGATCAAGCTAAATACACTAAGATAACGAAAACTACATAGATGACGACTATGTCACACTCGCCAACTAGCGGTAAACAGGAAAGACAACGTAACCCAAGAAAATTCTTAAAAAAAAAAGAGCCGGCGTGGTGCGGTGCACGGAACAGTTCTAAGAAAAAAATCATCCTCAGAAAGCTACAACACAAAACTGAGCACAGGAAGCACACCGAGGCGAGGCTGAGGCAGGCGGATCATTTGAGCTCAGGAGTGTGAGACCAGCCTGAGCAAGAGCGAGACCTAGTCTTACTAAAAAAAATAGAAGATATTACGTGAACAACTAAAAAATATGTATAGAAAGGAATTAGCCAGGCATGGTGGCACAGGCCTGTAGTCCAGCTACTCGGGAGGCTGAGGCAGAAGGATCGCTTGGCCCAGGAGTTGAGGTTGCTGTGAGCTAGGCTGATGCCATGGCACTCTAACCCAGGCAATAGAGTGAGACTCGCAAAAAAATAAATAAATAAATAAAATAAATTTAATTTAAAATTAAAAAAAAAAGTGGACACTCTTAGGAAAATAATTAAAATTTGGATTTGCCATATTATCTAAAATATCCGAATTTCAACAAAAGTGATAAGACATGCAAAGTATATGTGACCTATATACTCAGGACAAAAAAATCCTATTGATAGA